GCAAAAATTTGGCAAAGTCCAAACACACCCAAGGCCTATAGAAATAAAATCATTGTTATGATCAACATTAATTGCCCTTGTTTTTTTACATACAAATTTATCTCTTGCAAAATTATCACAGAAAATTCAGAAAAAAAAATTAATTAAGCCAAATCATGTATGTATCATACTCTTCCTATCAAAAATCGTTTTCATCATTTTATCGCATAAATTTGGGAATAGCATACGGAATAACAAGGAACTCACCAGCATATGTTCTGAACTCTGAACCGGTTGAAAACCAACGAACGAAATTTGCATGGATAAAATTGTTCCGACGCAGTATAAAATGCTGTAGGCGACATAAATGCGATGCGAAAAACGTCCGGTTCCCATCAGAGCTAGGACGTGCAATGGAATTAAATTGATGAGGAAAACGTAACCACCCCATGATGAAACCATGTAGAAATAAGCCAATGCTGACATGACCGACCAAAGAATGGCGCCAGTTTTAACCGCTTTGATCCATAAATAGTACGTCAACAACATGCAAAAAATGGCAATTCCTTCGTTATCGTATGAACCTATATTGAAATGAGAAAAAATAACTCATTAAAGTCACACGTTCATTGAATACATATTGAAATATCGCATTTTACAACAAAAAAAGTCAGCAAGAAGATTAAAAATAAATCATTTATGTTCATACTCTTCCTATCAAAAATGGATATCATCATATATACACTAAACGTCTCTTTGAATGAGAGTCTCTTTGGACAAATTTAAAGAATCACAGTAAAAACTCACCAGCCACGGATCGCGAAATGTAGCCCGGAACAATGGAAATCATGGCGGCAGCCACCAAACCAGCACCAGTGCTCTGTTCACCAAAAATAGATGACCAAATGAAGAAATATGATACCATTTCAATCGAAAAAAAATAACTTACATGAATTTCTTTAGTCAAAAGGTATGTGACCACTGTGGTGAGCGATGAAAAGAATGGTGCCAAAAAGACGCAGACATTTCGAATGTCAACGGTAAAATTCAGCAGCCATAAAATGCGATAGAGTGCTGCTGATGTCACCATCAATCCAGGGTACAGGGTTCCGCCGATAATCCGACCGAGCGGATACCAAGCACGATCATCGAACCAATTGTGAAAATTGTAGAAACCTTGTTCGGTCAAAAATCGAGTCGTTCGATAATTAAAATACGGATCAAACTCATGGATAACACTCTCAAATCGTAAAACCGAAAAGAGCCGTGTGGCAAACGCTGCAAAAAAATAAAGACGCAATTGCTATTGATTTTTTTTTCGTTTAATAATTCAGCGTGTGATTTGAGGTGTATAACCTCAACTCACATGGTCAATCTCGAAATTGGGAAAATAACTTCTTCTTTACTCACATAAAATTGCGGCAATGCTTAATATTGCCAATTTAACAAGATGTTCTTTCTTTTCCAAACCAAGTATGGCTTTTGATTGCGTGGATGTATCCATTTTTGTGTGCCTTTTGAAGGAAGAAAAAAAAGCAATATAGATTTTCACCCACTCATATTTCCATTAGAGTTTTCAAGCACTTTTCAGAAGTTCATCTTTCCACCACTTTTCTTCTAGACATTTTCAATCGAATAAAGTGATCAAATAATACTTACCAAAAAAAATTGGTAATTTTTCGCAAGAAAAAAACGAAACACCGGCACTACAAATATTTCTATATTAACACATATTATTGACGGCGTGGCACACAGACACTCGACTCCAAACTATCAGCCATATTTTATTTTGTACAGCAGTAAATGCCACTTTCAATTTCAAATATTCCATAAAGTCAAACTAGCCGGTTATGCATGACAGTTTTATTGCTGTTCAATGTTAACATTATAAGAATTCACTTTTTAAATGTATAAATTTTGGCAATTAAAAATTAAAAAAACATTTCAAAAGTAAATTTATGGGAAAATCCAGACAACATTCAATAAACTACGCAGTTGAACGAAGGTAAGCGACGTAGAACGCACTCTTATGTTTCGCGCCAAATTCACAGATTCACATATGTCACTTGGTGACAATGTCAGGGCCATTTATGTGCTCATCCCAATGCAAGTATATACACACATTTTACAACTGTCAAATTTTTAACGATTTTCTTCTCTCGTCTCACTTACAATTAGTACGAGAGAGTGCATGCACACAGTGCACAAAAATTTGTATGTGCATCTAGTGAAAAACAGATGCGCAAGTTTGCACCAATTTTAAGAGTTTTTAGTGAATTTTATTGCTATAGTTTAAGATGAATGCACCAAATTTTGAGGAAATTTTCCGTTTATTTCAAGAGCTTGCCAATACATTGGCTGGTAAAAATGCACAAAGTAAGTGGCATTGTGTTTATGTGTGTATGCGTGCAATATTTTGCACCGATTTATTCGACGATTCGCTTGATGTGTTTTGCAACAGAAAAATAAACTTTTAAGTTTGAAATAATGAAATTGTATTTGTATTGTGTTTTAAGGTTGGGCCATGGAAAAAATTTCACTCTACATATCGACGCACCCAACAACGATAAGCGACAGTTTACCTTTCGATGAGTCAGAGCTATTGAAAAGAATTCAAAATCAATTAAGCATGTCAAAGACGCCAGTCAACGCAACATTATTCAATAATCACTTTCAACAACTATCAACATGTGTAAGTTACGCTTTATGCTCGTATTTCTACGTTTTAAATGGATTTTCAGTGATGCACAGAAAAAGACGCAAAAAGACTCAAAACAAAGTGGCTTTTGCAAGGCATATATGATTTGCATTATTGTTCAGTGTTTGTGTATGTGTGCAACAGAACCGAGTCGTGCAAAACAAAAACAATGTTCGTTTAGAAGTTGTAAGTCTCTCAAGTTGAGACAATAAACAAACGCAATATTTGAACGCAGAAAATGATAAACGTTCAAAGTATATACGGTGACCATCTGTTTTTTACTTACACAATCGACGTACTCTTGAAAAAACTTGATGAGAAATTTGAGATTATGATGAAACTCAAACCGCTTTCGTGATATAAGTGCGTATTTTGATGAAAAATAATCCGATATTCTTGTTTTGTGTTCTTTTTTTTCTCATCTAGACCGAAACACACACCCGCACATCAATATTAACATTTCTCGCCTTAATGGCGCAAAACGAGAAAAGTTCGCCAAACGGAAAAACGGCAATCAATAACAACGGCACGACACGAAGAACAATTGAAATGTCTGCAGCAACAAGAGTACGCAGTACTTTTCTGCCGAAATCAAATAACATTGCCCGCATAAATATTGGGCCCGAGCAATATGTTACACCGCCATTTAGAAGTGTTAGTATCATGTTGTTTTTTTTTTGCATTTATTTCTGAACTTCCTTTTCTAATAAAAAAATGACAAAATTTTCAGGCAATTCCATCGAGTACGTCAACGCAGAATATTAGTGCCAATCAATTTCAGAGTACAAAAGTGCAAAAGTCACGGAGTATGGGCAATTTTCAACAAAGCATTGGAATGTCTGAAATCAGTCCGTATACAGAATACTCATCATCGGATGGTGACACTGATTTTGTGCAGAATGTTATTTACGCTTTAACTGGCATCGAGGGAAAATATTTTAAAAAGGACGTCATCACTGGCGGTTTAAAGCTCGATGCTAAAGTGCGAATCAGTGCTAAAATGTCAGCGATTCTTTTGCGATTGGGTGAAGTGTCTTTTTATCATGAACAATTGATTTCATTCACCGATCCCAGTACCGGACGCACCCCACTCGGTTTACTCGGTCAGGGTTTGGTTACAACATTAAAAGATGAGCTTACTAAATACTACGGAATGGTTGCAATGCTGCAAGAACAGGTTTGCCTTGAATTTTAAGTCCGAAAAGAAAGTCGTTTACGAAAATGGCATTAATTTTTATTTCAGCACAATCGGAACACTCGTTCAGCGCACAGTATGGAAAAGTTGACATTATTACAAATTGAAATGTTAATGGTTGAGCCCCGGGAGCGTTTGCAATGGTTGACAAAAATTGCTGAGGCGTGTCAGGAGAAGAAAGGTGGCGCTTTGGCCACCGAAATTTTCTCCTTCAAAAATGATGGAAACACAAAACGTAAAGCTTTAGTCCATGATTTATTGGTGGCTGTTTGTACACCGTTGCAATATATGCTTGAAAAATGGTTGATTGAAGGCGAAATCAATGATCCACACTCGGAATTTTTCATTGAAGTTCTGCCAGAAGTTGGCACCGATCGTCTTTGGAATGATAAATATCGAGTGCGTGAAACGATGCTTCCATGTTTTATATCAGAGTAAGTTATTCAAACATTTGGCATATATTTTTACTCGGAAAATTTAACATAAACATTAATTTTCTGCGAAACAGAGAATTAGCGCACAAAATTCTGGTCACCGGAAAAAGTATCAATTTCCTGAAAGACATTTGTGACGAACGCACAATAATCAAAGGACGTAAAGAGCTTAAAGAATATCTCGAATCAAATGGTAAGTTTTCATAACATCATTGTGAGTTGAGAGTCCAAAACTTAATTGTGAATTTATTCTGCAGTTGAAGACATTTTTGCCGATGTGGCCGACACAAAACTTCATATTATGATCAATGAGGTGTATTTGAACACATCGAAAAAGGTGCTGGACATTGTCATGGGACCGCATAAATTGCTTGACCATCTGCAAGCGCTGCGCAAATATTTGCTTCTCGGTCAAGGCGACTTCGTTGGTCTTCTTATGGAAAAACTCAAGTAAGTGTCGGAAGAAATACCCGATTTTTTTACAAATTCTTTACCCTTTCGTATGTGACGCAAAATTGAAATTGATTATTTCTTCTCTCGTTTTATCTCCAACAGACCCGAACTAGATCGTCCAGCAAAAGAGTTGTACAGTTACGAATTGTCATCAATATTGGATACCGCACTGCGTTCAACAAATTCACAATATGATGATCAAGAGATTTTAAACAATTTAGATGTACGTTTAATGAGTAATTTCGAAGGTGATACCGGTTGGGATGTATTTTCACTGCAATACACCATTCAGGGTCCATTACTCACGATGCTCGAAGTATCGATGCCTAAATACCTACAACTCTTCAAGCATTTATGGCGATTAAAGCATATGGAGTATGTTTTATCATCCAAAATTTGGAAAGACCAAAAATGCAATGCAAAGGTAAATTATATAAACAAACACGTTTTGACGTCATAAAATTAACGAAAAAATCAATTTTCTTTGTAGATTCTTCGTAGCATGACGGCCGAATTGAATCCAGTGTTGCACCGATTGTATTTGTATACATCGCAAATGATTCATTTCATCCATCAGATTCAATATTACATTCTATTTGAAGTGGTCGAATGTTCGTGGACAAAATTCCAAGACAAAGTACAAAAAGCAACCGCACTCGATGAAATATTGGAGGCGCACAATGAATTCTTGCATAATGTAAAAATCGGTGCATTTTTAGAGGATGGCGGTTTAATACATGGTTCACTTGAGAATGTCGTGAATGCTAGTAGTAAAATGGAACCGTGGCAGGATCGGTTTTATGAACTATGCCTGGCGGAATTAAGTGCGCGCCGCCAATTTGATAGTAAAATTAAAGCCAGCGAAAAAACGGGCAAATATGGAATTACAGCTGAAACACGATTCGAACGTGATGAAGAAAAGAAGATCTTTGATTTAGCGATAAGCGAAGCAAATAAGTCACTGGAGAAAATCGGGGCCGATTATGAATTTGCTGTAAAGAAGTTCTTATTGTTGTTGGCCGGTCTTCAGAATCAACCCGATATCTTGCAGTTTGGTATTCGATTAGATTTCAACGAATTCTATAAGAATCGCGATCAGCGTTTGGGCGCACCATTGACATTTGAACACATGAGAATGACAATGAGCAGTATGCATTTCCGCAATAGCAATGTAATGATATCAAGCGTTGGTGGCAGCAATGCTACACCAATTCCATCAGCATCACGATTTCTCACACAGTCATGCCATAACTGACCGCTCTCACACCATTTTAATTCTAGTGATTCCTTGTCATTGTGTCAATTAAATCCATCAATCCAAAATACTCACATCAATAATAATTTTATTCAGAATACCATTTTTGCCAATGAATTGTTGCTACTCGATTGTTGTGACATCCTTTGAGATGTCACAATGACCATCAACAATATTTTGTTTAAATTTTAATTTTATTTTATTTGGCCAAATACGTATTGTAAACACAAAATAGCTCTCTATGCCAATGAATTCCTGAAATGGAAGAAACATAAATAAAACACACACTCTCCAGTTTAAGCATTGATTTTCATTTTATATATCTGATATATTGACAATGTCTTTTATTTTCGATTTCTTTCGTTATGCGTGTATGTGAGTGTGTATGAACAGTTCATATAACCTTTCCTTTCATCAAATTCAGCAAAAGCATCTAAATATGATAATGTATGCAAATCGTACCGAAATTATGCTCAAAGTGTCACACAGCTAGCGCCACGACGGAATTCAATGTAATCTATACTAAGTTGCCGCCAACTAGTAAAAATTTTCTCTTAAGACTTTTGTTCAGTTAAAAACAACTAACTAGAACTCCACAGTTATCCGTAGTGGCGCTAGCTGTGCTACAGTTTTGGATTTTATACAGTCTCTTATGGAACATAATTGCAGTGCGATGCAAATACTATTTCCATGGTTTTGTATCTTTGCCACCGAAAAATGCTTGGAAAAATGTCTACCAATATTTTCTCATATTTTTATAGTATTTTTTTTTAAATATTATTCTAAATTTCTATGACGAGGGTTAATTGTCTATGTCTTTTTTGATAACTTTGTGCTCTGTCAACGAAAGAGTACTGGATATTTTTGAAGAACAAAATCAGTAAGAATATTACAGCATGCTATATACATGATAACAAAGTCAAAATTTAAATGTAGTAAGTATTAAAAAATAAACAATTATTATATCAGTAATGTGCGAAGGGGAGGGGGAAAGGGGGTTTACCCCCTGTGACCTCAAAGTTCTTGCGATTTGCTAGGGATTTTCGTCCGAAATTTTTCTCGATATTCTAGGGTTTTTTGAAGAACATTTTCGACATCTTTTTCTGACATACAAATGTCGCAAACAAAAGTTTCACATGGTAAACCATTGAAAGTAGACGGTAAAAGATCTAGCCCACCTACATATACAATTATTTGAATAATCCATCCAAACTGTAGTGTTGATCCGTGATACTCCCGCCTGAACAACTTTAATTGCAATGAATGATAATAATATTGTATTCAATAACATGATGACGGACTTTTTCTAGAACTGTGTTCACCACAAATTCCCGGGGACAAAATCACAAATGTCATTATTTGCCCCTAACGAAATCTGCTGTCAAGCTAATTATATATAGATTATTGTATTACATTTTGTACGATATTTATTTTTACACCTAATCAACACATGCATTAGATACACGACAGTTCGCAGTGAATTCTAGTGCTGATATTCGCCAAAGATGTGCCGAGTGTACACGAATCGTGAATTCTTCTAATAGTGGTTACTAAAGTCGTATTGGCTATAAACGAGTAGCAACGACTATCATAGGTTGATAGGGCTGTAAATGAAAGATTCTCTAGCAAATCGGAACATTTTTCGTTTTTTTTTTTGGAAGTCACTTTTTGCGGCGAAAATCCCTAGCAAATTTGAAGAATTCTCAAATACTTCTCAACTTTCTGTATCACCTGGTGATGAAATCAGAATAAAAAAAATCGCGTTCCTTATCACCCAAATCACGATCTGGATTTTTTTCACTTTTGAGTGCTCTATACCGAGTCTCCGAGAGTTTCATATAAACTTCCTATGTAACACCTATTGAATAGTGACCGAATGCAAATCACGATTTCAATGATAAGGAATGAGAGTTTTTTCATTCTGATTTCATCAGATGATACAGAAAATTGAATGGAATTTGTAAATCGAAGAAAAAAATTATATATGGAAGGCTTGTATGAAAAACACGGAAGACCGCTGAAATAAATAAAAATTCAACATGATAAAAATGTAAATAAAATACCAACTTGATTGGACTTCCAATAAAACGGGAACTTATTTGCTTTGAAAATAAAACACCACCGTGCGCAGCGTAAAAATAAAAGTTCAACATGTTTAGAGTGAAAATAAAAGACCAACATGAATCATGTTGCTCTTTTATTTTCATCTCAGTTTAGTTGGTCATTTATTTTTACCGATTTCATGATTGAGATTTTTTTATATGAAAATTTGAGCTCACTTTTATCCTAACCCATTCAATTTTTAGCTCGAAAATCCCTAGGAAATTCGAAACTTTTCTAACCGCCTCCAAAAACCTTAGCAATTTTGAATATTTTCTTCAATTTTGCAAAGTGAAGAGCTATTATTTTGATTAATGGTTTTTTTATTTTTTTATTTTTATGCATAGGGTAATACAAAGAGCGTTAAAAACGCATATTTTTGGATTTTGTTCTGTTTTGAATTTATTTCCATGGGTTTATTGCCAGTCGAGATTCACGCGATCCCAGTCTTCGATAAAAGGTTTGTCAATTTGATTGATCATGTGTTCCCCGCAGAAGAAACATTCAGCCGCCAAAATGGTTTCGATTTCGTTTTTAATGTTATCACGTTGTGAGGGATTGGCGTCTGCTTGACCTGTCACTGGAATGTTCAAACTCAATGTTTGCAATTGTTGTTTTAACTTTGACAAACGGAAAATGTTATCGTTGCCTGATCGATAAAAGAAAGGAAATTTTTAATAAAAATTTTGTTTTTGATTTGATATATATAATCTTACTCAAATGCTCCATAATTTGATGCTCCAAACAGTCGTGATGAAATTTGTGACCACATGGGAATATGAAAAACGGTTTCACCTGTAAATATCCCGAACAAATGGCGCACAACTCTTGTCCATCGATAACAATCGAACGATTTCGGAATGTTTGCAATTCATTTCGTACACGTTCGGCCGATTTGGCCGATTCTTCCATGTCGATGCGTTGCTCTTGGATTTTTGCATTGTATTCCTAATCATCAAACGATATCAAAAGTTATTTTATTTGCAAGGTAAAAGAAATCCACGTGAATCACCTTGAGTGCATCGCAAATGACTTCTTTAAAATGATCGATTTTTTGAAAATCATCGAAAAATGGTAGCAAATCTTCAATTCGTAGTAAATCACATTCTTTGAGTAAATCAAGTGCTTGTTTGACATCATTTTTTCCTTTGATTTCATGTTCAGCGATGAGCAACCAGAGTTTACGCTGAAGTTCACGGTCACTAGGCTGCGAAGCAGTTTGTTGTGCCAACTTTGTGTCGAATGTCAAGGCCAATTCGACCGCTGGATGCCATAATTCAAGCAAACACTGCAGAAATACACACGCTCGAATTGCATTATGTTCAGCACAAACTCTGGAAAAACATGGAAAATCTCAATTTTTCACGACAATACTTTATTAAATGAGTCAAGTTAAAAGATATCTCACCTTAGTGCATAATGAACGTCATAGTGTACCAATGAAATATCCTTTCCTTGCAATTCAAAATAAGTCATAAGTTTTCCACTTTTATGTTGAGTATAAAGTTTCACCAAAAAATTGTGAATCGCTTGATCGGTGCAACCCAATGACACTGTACAAAAATCCAGATATCGAATGGTTTCGTTGCGCTGTGATTCGGTATCTTGACAAATAAGGGTCGGCAGTAGTTCGATTGGATTTAGTCGTCTCCCCTGACCAATGATAACGTCAATGGTTTCTCTCGGAATTTCCTCCATCAACATTGGACAGTACTTGTAAAATAATTCGGGTTTGGTCTGTCGATTTAAAACGGAGACGGCATCCTTGAACTTTCCTTGATTGATATATTGATCCAAAACCGATTCGAAATCTTTGTTCACCGCGGTCAATGTGTTCAAATTGAAATTATCGCCATGAGAAGCCATTAAGTCGTAAATGACAGTGCGATTATTTCTAACGCATTCGACGACTTTGGCTGTTTTCATAAAAGCATCAAATTCCATTTGATATTTCCGTATTTTTGCCTGTTGTTCGATGACCGAACACCGTGCCATTTGTGTTAAATACAATTCAACTATCCATACCACAAGCATCGAGATCTGTGTCTTATCCTGTACATCTAATTTGTCCAGGCGATTTTTCAGGAAAACAAGCAATGCCTCGTACTCATTTATCTCCATGAATTTCAAACAAACATCCTCAAAACTAGTCTGAGTTTCCGAGTAAATTCGTGCACTGGCCATATAATCTTTTTGACTGAATTTCAATTCGGCCTGTTTCACAAGCACCATATCCAATTGGGCGGCATTGTCATGACAATACAATTTTGCCATTTCGAATTCATTCTTTTCCAAATACAAAATCCACACGTGACGATGCTCATTTGTTACCTTGAATCGAAATATGTTCCGACCGGTGCTCGCGAAAATCGCATTCGATGTTATGTCTCTGGTTACGTCAACAAATTTACCAAGTTGTTCGGCAAAATATTCTTCGTAGACGATTTGATAGTTTAACAATGACACAGCGGTGACGTGATCTGAATACAATAATAGCACATGGAAATCCGTTTGAATAAACGAAATGGGATACACCTGCTTTTTGGTCGTCGATGTATACGATGAACTATGCACTTCAATAGACTCTTCAGCTGGAGTTTCGGGGTACGGAATCACTTCATTGGTTAAAATAAACTGCGGTGATTCGGCTTGTTGGTCGATCTAGAACAAGAATTCCGCTTTAATTTCCATCAGTTTTGAATTATATTTTCATAAATTACCTCGCCTGTGTATATTCCAATGTCGGTTAACCAACCGAAACTTTTCGGAAATTTTGCCGTTTTATCGTAGTTAACACGAAGTTTTGAATATTTCAATTTGTTATTGATTTGATGAAAGTCTTTTATATCTTCAGGCACATTCAAGTACGATTGAAAAATATGCTATCGTTCAAAATAGATTTCATATTATCATTGAGATGTCAAGTAAAATCGAGGCCATTATCGATACAAACCTGTAAATATGGTGGTTTCTCATCAACCCGAAGATTTTCATGAAACTTATAAAGTCGATTAAGGGTAGATGCTAAAACAATGTATCTGCTTGTATTGGGCACTTTATAAAATTCGATCCCGGTTATTGGACAGTGTTCACCTTTTCCAATGTCAAAAACCTATGCGACAAAACAATGATTATTTATCGTTCATTCATCAAAACGGCACCAAAAGAATTTCGAATGATAAAAAAGCAAAAGGATCATGCAATAAAATAAGTGGTTCTTTGTTTTTTTTTTTACATATTTACATACCAAACCATCGATTTCATGATTTCCATAAATTGGTAGATAATTTGGTATCTTTTTTTATTAGCATGAGCATAGAGTAGAAGTAGCGTGGATAGGAAAGGGTGTGATTATTTTCTGAATAAGGATTTTACATTTTTTTTTAAAGAAGAAATATGTCCATCACTCACTTGTTTCCAATTGCTTTGAAACATCTTTTCACCTTCGATACCGAATTCCGTTTCAAAAATCATTCCTTTGCTGGTGCCAATCAATATCGAACCGGTTGATGCTTCCGATTGATTATTGTGATTAAAAGCAACGGCCGTAATTTCGTGATCACGAAACTTTTCGATTTTCTTTGGTTTATTACTTTTACGATGTAGATATAAGAGCTCGGGCACAAAACCCGGACATTTTGTAGCCAAAGCGATGAGCAAATGATTTCCAGTTGGATCCAGGAAAATATTCGACACACGTAAGCCGGTCAAATGCTTCTCAAGAAAAACCTCTGCAAAACAGAAAATCAAATGATTTAGAGTGTAAATGGATGACTCATTGACCATTGCATTGACCTACCATCCTGTCGATCTGTTTGTTGTAAATACAATCGCAAAAGAACATTGTGCGACATCAAAACGACCAGCCAATTGTTGCAAACTCGTGTGAATAGAATGTCATGCGGAAGATTGATGGGTAATTTTCGCTTTGAAAAAATGGGTGTTTCTTCTTTTGTTCGAAGACTAACAAAACCCGAACTGGTTGGTGTCGCATTTACCTAAGGGGAGAATCACAAAAGAAAAGAATAAAATTTAAAATAATCGATAAGTAATCGGAGAATAATCGAAAAATAATCGGAAACATATAATGAAAAAATTGCAAAGCAATAGCCACAACAACAATAATGTCCAGCAATTGCTTTAAATTGAGATTTGGTAGTTGTAATCGTCGATTTCTGTGTCGCATTTACCATTTGACTAACAGGCACTTGCTCTCTTTTTTGTGCTGTATCATACTGGTCGAACATTGAAGTCATCTCGTTAAAAAATCAAGACGCACAAAACTAATTTAATATCAAATTGGAAAAACTTTATTTTCGAATGACAAATTATTTGTTTGATAATGAATTGTGTATATGTTTTTCTATCGCATAAAACGTCATTGGTGTTGTGACACCGAACACTAGGGTGCGTTATAAAGCAAATGCGTTCCCAGGCAGACTCGGTCGACCGAACTCATTTAAAAATTTGAACATTTATTTTCGGTTACTCGTATTTCTTACGCCCTTGTAAACTCATGAAGTCGGTGTCGGTGCGGCAATTTCTCTCGAATCCACTTTGAATAGAATCGGTGCAATACATCGGATCGAATGAAATTCGTGGCTTTCTTTCGAAATGCCTGATTTTTCTAATTGCATTTCGTACGATTCAAGTAAATTGCTATAACATTTAGCGACGCGTGCCAACTCATATTCAAGTTGTTCGATTCGTTCATTTTTCTTTCGTAAATAATTTTCCACTTTCGTGCATAAATCCTGTGGCTCAAGACCGGTGACTTTCAGTACTTCACCGAAAACCATTTCCAAGCGTTCATATTCCTTTTTCAGTTGTGCCAATTTTCGTTCGAGCAGCACATTTTTAAGTCCGGTTTTTTGTTGCATTTCAATCATAATTTCGCCGAAACGTTTTTTTAATTCATCTCGTTCTGTTGTAATGGTATCGCATCTCATACGTAATGCTTCCACCTCCCATTTTGTTGCGTTCAATTGTTTCGTTGATGCAGCACTCTGCAAACGTATTCGTGACAATGCTGAACGGTCTTTGTTTAAATGTTCCAGTTTCTTTCGTAAATCAGCCAATTCAATTTGTGAATCTTGTTTGGCCAACTTTCGATTTTCCGCTGTGACCTAATTAAAATTCGGTAGAAAAAGACAACATCGTTTGGATCATTAAACACTTGAAATGTTTGCAAAATAAGAAAACGACAAGAGAACAAGAAAAAAAACACACTTTTAAATTGTTTGATTTAAAGTATTTGTCTCCATTCACTATCTCTCCGTGCCCTCTTTGCCGCTTACCTTTTTCAGTTGATGTTCACTTTTTTCCAATTGCGAACTTAATACTTCCATTTGTTCCTTAAGACTACCAATTAACGTTAGATTATTTTGAACAATGTCTGTATAGTAGTTTCGAATGTCTGCCAAAGACTCTTCGTGCTCTTTAATAAGTTTCATAATTTGATTACTCTTTCGCTCATCAATTTCGTCCATTTCCATTTTGTGCTTTGTTTCAGACGAACATATGTATTGTTCCAAGCGTTTCTCATACAATTCGATCATTTTGCGAATTTGTTGCTGGAAATGGTCACGCTCTTTGCTGCACACATCAGCAGATATGTGAAAAGAAGAGAAGGGAAAAAACATGAACAAAAAAACGAAAGGAAGAAAGTAACAAATTAAATGGAAGCGATGAATTGGTGTTACGGTAAAAAGTAGCACAACGAAAGAGAATTCAAAAGTCGTTGCTCTGATTGATTTAGACTTCAATTTAGATTGAGTGGCCAATTATCGGTTCTTCTACTTCGAATAATAATTGTTAGAATTAAAATGGTATGATCCATAACGCAAACAATTTAAACTACAACAACAAATCAAACAATTGGTAATAACAAAGCAACCCCATTGTACGTCAAAAGCAGATGGCTTACATGTACTTCTAATTACAAGTGAAACTACTTAAATGCAACAAGAGCTTTATGTCTATTATGAATTTATACTGAATGGCAAATGGCACACAATTTTAATGGATAAAACAGTGGATGCTTCATTTCATTTAATATTTAACTAACGTATTACTCAATTGATATACAGAGACAACGAGTACGATGGGATATTGTTAGAGTAAGAGAGTTGCAAGTTTCAAGGAAAAAGAAATAGAAAAAGGTTAAAGAAGAGAATCAGGCCAAGTCGTATCTGTGTGCATTTGTGTCAATATGTTGTCATAGATATTTTTGTTACACTATCTATCCTTCTACCCTTTCCGTCTGCATGTACACACACATTGAGTTCCTACCTCATTTCTTCACTTTGTTCCATTTTCAATTGCTGTATTTGTAGTTCCGTCATTTCATCTTTTTCACGTAACAATCGTCTCAGTTCTCGTTTGTCATTCAAAAGTTCCAATTCTTGTAATCCATGATCTTCTTGTGCTAATTTCAATTGTGTCATGTTCTCAGCACGTATTTCAGCAATACGATTTTGATTTTCATATTGTAAATGCTTCATTTGCTGGGCAATGTGTTTAACATCCAGTTCGGCTTGCTCTTCAGCTTGCTCCACTTGACGCTGTTTTGCCAATATCTCCAATTTTGCGTCTTCTGCTCAATCGAATGAAAAAAAAAACAACCAAAAATGGATAATATTTTGTTTTCTACAAGGAGTAAAAGAACTTCCAATGGAATGTATAAATCGTTGAAGAAAATTGCTGGAAAGGATTATCTTAAATTGGCCGTAATTTAAATAAATGTCGACAATAAATACATACCCAATTGATTTTTCGTGATTTCCCAAAATGTTCGCAATTGGTCACGTTCATTTTGAAAGTAGTTTCGTTCCTCACGCTCCTTTTCCACTTCGTTCTTAAGATTGTGCGAAAATTTCTCGAGCTGATCACGTGTCATCGACGACGTATCCACTCCATCGATAACAGCTGATAAACGAATATAATCATAATTAATTAATGTTTCCGCCAATTTTTGTGGTAAACGCGCGTGAGCGCGTAAGTACGTGATGCCGATAACATGCACGCACAACACTTTTCAAGATCAAAACAGATACACACGATTCGTCGTACGCACATCGGGTGCCTCAAACCATCAAACCACAGTACACGCTCAACACATATATTGTTCTTAAGATATAATCCTTTCAAAATATATTTCAAGATATGTCAACCATTATTTCGTTTTCTGGCTAGTACTTTGAGATTGTTTAATCAAATTTTCTAAATTGCCATTTTGCGATGAATTGCTTCGCGTCAAACGAAAAACATAAGCTCATGTTGACTTAAATTTAATTTATGGGACTACTTGATATGAATATAACAAGAAACTTATGAATGGCCCGAGTGAACGAGGGAGAGAGGAGAAAATTGGTTTTATATTTATTTTTTGTGCTTAACGTAGCCTTTCACAGTGTTTCATGATGTGGTTGTGAAAAACTAAAAGTGTGAAAGTTAATTGACAAAGTAAAAACATGAATATATCTTAATAAATCCCGCAGAGAGAGAATGACTCTGAAATACCAAATAATTTACTTGTCAGCAAATTCATGAGATTGGCTCTGAGCCGTTTTTTATTGCTTGTTGGATGTTTTTTCCCTCCTCTCTCTCTCTCTCCTTGATTCTTAAATTTGTTGATATCAAAACAGCGTGCACTGCTGTTGCGAATAGAGCGCGAGCGACTCCACCAGCAGCACACATTAAACTAATATCTTGATGTAAATCAATGAAGTGCACTCCACAATTTTTTTTCTCTTTCGCTCTTCCATTCTATTCGATCTTAATGGGTATGGTCCATGGGTATGGTCTTTAGTTTGTGTAGTAGTTCATTGTGAGCCATTTTGCATGCTCATACATGCACAAAATTGAAGAGTGCGAGCACTTGAAACCATGTACGAAGGAATAAACGACGAAGAGATGGAGAGAGAGAGAGACAGAAATGAATGCGAGAAAAAATGCAAACATTAAAATCAGTTTCTTGTCGACACAACCAACATACGTTTTCCAGAACGACATATACTTTAGCCAACCATCGTTGAGATGAAAACTTTGCGGTTCGGTGTTTTTTTTTCTTGCTCCGTTCTGTTTTATTTTTCTTTTTCTCTCCCGCTTACTGGCTACAGCTTAACATAGAAAATGAATACGGAAATGCACTTTTATGTGAAAGAAAACTTGAATCGTTGTCGTCGTCGCAGTCGTTGTGTGCAAAATGGTTTTGAATTTTATATTTCATATTCGGTAAAAGTTATTGCGGTTTTTTTCTCTCTTTTGTTTGAAATAATAATTCGGGACTGCAATACGGTGGTTTTTTTCTGTGTGCTCCTCGAAGGAAAATGCGCTTCTAATGTTCAAAGAAACCAACTGAATGAAATAAATCTTCTTCACACAATATGAACATGAAAGAATCGTAGAAATGAATTGGCAAGCCGATCATAGTTAAATGAAATCTTAAAATTGAGGAATGATAAGAAAAATGCCATGAAATCAAAACTTAACAACTGCCAAAGACCATAAGTTGCTTGTTAATTTAATAAATGTGATTGATAAAAATATTTTCGGTCTTGGTTCGATGTTTTCATCCAATTTTTGTCTGGGAAAATGAAAATGAAAAAATTAATCAAGATTGCTGCGAGCCATATTCATCCAACAGGGCATGCAAGCGAGTGAGAAAGAAAGATGGCTATAACAATGGTCGCAACGGATTCTGATTAAACGGAAATGGAATAAAAGCGAAAATATTACAAAGCGACTGGAAAACTCATTGAAAACTTATGCTTACAATAGGGAATACAACTCTCTTTCTCTCCTAATAACTTTGCGCTCTGTGTGTATTCATCAACTTTCATCGCCGCCAACACTTGCATCTCTCATTCATCTTCTTTGCACTCACTGCATCTCCCATCTCTTTCTCGAATTCTCTCAGCCATTGCATTGATGCACAAGACAAATGGGCCATTGAGAGATAAAGAGAGAAAGGAGAAAAAAATGATGTGAAAATAACCACGCACCAACCGAAAAACTTTTCACTACTACTTATCTGTGCGCCCAAGTATTTTTGGAATATTCGTGAATGAATGGCGGCCAATGTTTTGTTGTACCGTGTTAACCATGAGAGAATGAAATTGTTGTTTGTAGATTATATATATATATTTTCAACAAATTCTCTTCACCAACTCGTCAGCAGGAAACTATATCACACGACACGGCACTCTTGCCATTCTATTCTATTCGAATCACAAATTCAATGCATTTAAAACTCTATGCCATGGTTTCGTGTTCACTTTTTTTTTTCCTCCTGTGTCGTTGTTCAGACACAAAAACACCAAAGCTGTCAAACTTTAACATCGAGAGTTTGTTGCATGAGTTTCGAATTTTCGCCATGCATGAAGTGGGTTATCAAGCTTCCACATCATTCAATAGAATCGCTACAGAATTTCACTATTTTTTTAGAAAGAAATTAAGTCGTGGACGCTTCGTTTAATATTCATTCGATGGCCCGTCTCACCACCCAGTGAAGACAAGAATAACAACAAAATGCAACGATGACATCGTCTGTCGATATTGTTTGCACTCGAAGAGGAAAATAAAAACGAATAGTTGCACAACCCGTAAACAATCTTACCGGTTCCTTTCTTCTTTTTCGGTGGCTGTAGTATGAAACAAAAAAAGGAGAAAAATCGGAAAAGAGAAATCAGTCATACTGAAAAAGTTTCACAAATGGCTTTTCATTGATGAAACAAAGTCATCTTTTGTCTCCAACTTGTTCAGTTTGATGTACAACTATTCACTTTGCAATTGTACAAGCTACCGAATGGAAACAAAAGACAAAATAAGCCAATGCATGACAATTAAGTAATTGGAAATGAAATACGATTTTAATTGAAAACTTACCATTTTATTTGGTCTGTTTACACACGTTGATTCGATGGAACACTCTTTATGGTGATTTCAGTGGGAACAACGGTTATACATATACACAATCGATCAAACACGTTGCGATGGCAATTTAACATCTAGCCTTGTTATTGTTTTTACCTTGAAAATTGAACGACTTAAAAAAACATGACATCTTGACATTAATATAGTCAAAAAAATAAAAAAAGTAAAAAAAAATGTGAAAATATGTAATGTACATAAATTCCGTTCAAGAAATCTGGTTCTTTTTCTTGTTTCTTTCGATCGTGACAGATCGTGGAACGCACCCCAAAAATTAAACCGATGCTCTTTTTTTGACAGTTCTCAGAAACGCGTACTGTTGAAGCTGTCATTTGTAATAAACAACATTTTTTTCCATTCATTTGTTGACCACGTTGTGTGCGCCGGTGTTAAATAAATCACAATTTCCATAAAAGATGCAAAGATGACCAGCAAATCATTTGCGTGTAAGAATAATCCCGATGATTTTTGCTACATTTGTGGCGAATATGATTCGGTATCAGTGAAAAAGCGACTTAGCAAAGCGCACGAAACGGCGTTTCTCGCGTATTTCGGTTATGGTATTTGTGATCAAAACAGTCAATGGGTTCCGCATCTTATTTGCAAATCTTGTCATTTGGGTTTGTTAAAATGGATGAACGATTGCGGTGGCGGCCTAAGTTTTTGCCAACCAATGAAATGGCACGAACCGAAAAACCATAACATTGATTGTTACTTTTGCCTCACTCAAATCGATGGCAACACCGGCAAAGTGGAATACCCGAACGTGATTTCAGTAACAAAACCAGTGCCAAATAGCACACCGGTCAACCTACAAGCATCGATTTACAACAACACCACTCCCACGGTGCCATCCAAAAATTACGAACATCATTTAATATTGCCAAACGAACTGGATTTGCTGATTAGCGGTCTCAATCTAAGCGAACGAAGTGCTGAAATGTTGGTCAAATTTTTTCAGCAATGGAATGTTCTGGCACCATGTATGTATCAAAATTTGTTGCAAATCAAATTGAACTTAAGTGAATTAAGCGAATTACTTATCATTTTAAAATGCTTTCTCAGTTCCAGGTTTTCGTCGGCCCAAAGTAGCACGAGTGATGTGAATTTTCGGCGCAAACTAACCACAAGTGATTCATACATGATCATTTAATTACATCCACATAATAGTCATATTTTGTCATCAAACAACACATAATCTATGCGAGAACTAAATAAAATATTCCGATTGACATTCGAATAAGAACATTTCTTGCCAACATCTGCATCTATTTATATTGTCATTGTCATTTTTTTTATCCTCTTTCATAACATATTTGAGCGAAAACGGAAGAAAAAAAACCAGAAACCATATCTAGTTGTAGAGTATGTTAAAGGATCAAATTGTTGACAATAAGATTGAGTGCAAGATTGAATTAATTATATTTTGCTAATAATTTCAAATGTAAATAAATACGCACGTTCCGAGAAATATATTCTATTAAAAATGATGTTTTTCGAAAATTGTTTGCAAATATGACTACAGTACACACATTCTCGACAAACAATTCGCTCAAAATTGCATATTCAACTTTGCGGAAATTTTCCCTGTTGTCTGTCTATTTCAATTCACTATCTGTCGCATCCCCTGTGTTTGTCCCATTCTACTCTCATAGTTGTCGGGAAACTCGTCGAGTGCCGAAAGTGAGCGGTTTGAGTTTGGAAATGATAACGAAAATCATAAACGTCATTAGAATGCTTGTGACAAATGTTCGAGTATATTTCGAGTAAATTTCATGTTTAAAACCACTTGATAATGAAAAGACAAACTTTCAGAGCGTATGGAATGCGATACAAATGGAATAAAAAACAGCAGCAGCAGCAACAACAACAACAAGAGCAAAAACAGCGTTGAATGCAATTCCGAAGAAAGCATAAAATGAAACCGACGACAGGCTACATAACAAAAACGTAAATAACCATTTGCCGAAGCACACAAACTTAAATGCACACAAAAACCACAGACCCATTGCATTTGATTGTAGCTAAACTTGCAAACCACTTGGTCATTCCAGTTTTTCCGACAGTATCAGTGTGTTGTGTTTGGAGAAAATGAGGCTGGAATTTTCCAAGTTAATAGAAAAAAGGAAGAGAGAGAGAGAGAGAGAGAGGGAGATAGAGAGAGAGAGAGAAATAGATATGCGGCACAGTGACAGAATTGTGAAAATTACCAACTATTTTCTGTTTTTCATTTGGACAATTTTATTTGGTCATTTCCTGGTTTTAATTAACGTCAAATGAACCGACGAAGGTAGACACACGTAATCTCACAAATGAGACAAAGAATATTTTTGACTTCTTTGCTCAAGTGTAACGTAATGCACACACACACACTACCATTTCTACAATTGTCAATTTAAATAATCAGGCATTTTGACAATTTCTTGCATATTATGTGGCATTCAATATAAATAATCCAAACCATACGGAATACAAACACATATACAAAACACACATTTAGAACAGACAGCTCATATTTCACATGGAATGCATAAAATTCGTTAAATTTAAATCAGCATCACATTGTATATATTATTCGGTGGCACATTGAAAAATATTGTCGAACTCATAAATTTGTGTGTGTGAAAGAGAGAGAGAGAGAGAGAGAGAGAGAGAAAAGGAGAGGATAGAGATTAAGAAAGTCGAAGAACAGCCAGAGCAAGAGCTGGATAAATGGATGAAATGTTTGGGTGCGAATGAGAAAGATGCGAACAGACAGTGTACAGAGAGATATGCTTTAATTTCAGCACAGTGACGTCTGGTGTGTGTATGTGCTGTTGTTGATGCTGAACGTGCGAAAAGTTTTGATTTTATCGTTTTGCCGATGAATGAGCAAAGAGTGAGTGAGTTGAGTGTGGTAAATACATGTAAATTAAAATCAGTTTGTCGCTTTAATTGAAATATTTAATTACGGAAACCACGTTATAGCACAGTGAAACAAGCACTTTCTTATGCTATGGTTCAGTTCACTGTTCTGCATCTTGCCATCATTCAACTCAAAATTCAGTCACTTTTACGCTTTATCCGAACGTACACATGCACACACACCATCCAACACCAGCACCGACCAACTCGAACACTCCACAACACTTTTTCCGGCAATGGATTTCTCTCTCGCATTCCCACATTTCTTATTTGTTTTTTGGTGTGTGTAGTTGCTTCAGAACAACGATAATGGCATATTTATATTTATATTGTACTGAAGTTGCTCGCATAAATTCAACGCGAACACTTTCCGTCGTGCACATCAAAAGCAATAAATGAATTTTAACAATACTCAACAATCACTGAAGTTTTTGGGCTAAACAACATCTGCTATGTGCCATCGTTGTGCACTGTATGTGTGTGTGTGTGCTTGTGCTCGCAACACAACTTTTCCAAAACATTCCAATGATTTTTTTCTTCTTTTTCGTTTCTGTTGTTGTTTCATTTTTTTTCTCTATATTTTACTAGACGCTGTGTGCCATGATGTGGTTGGAATATGTCTGTTCTCACGCCTTCTGTATTCTGTCGAATTAAGATGGAACAAAGAATGAAATGAAAAAAAAAAATAACTCACTCAGACTCATTCTTTTTATATGCATATTGAAATGAAAAACAACATTCTTAATGCTAAACGAAAAATATTTAAAATATAAAAAAACGAAGGAAATTTTCATTCGCCGTCGTCAATTGAGAGCTAGCTGAAACATACTGCCGCCGAAAAATTACTTGTTAAGGCATTTAACAACAACAAAAATAAATTCGAAACTTACCCGACCTACAATTCGCACGGATTGCATTGTGCCAACGAAATTTGAAATCAACACCATGAAAAATCTACATATTTTGCATAGAACAACCGAATAAACAACAAATATTTCTCTCCCCAAATCTTTGACACCATCATCACAATCACATTTGTCGGATATGCACGCCCAACGAACATAAACGTCGTCTTGTCGATGTGTTGTGTTATTTAACAATTTCTCATTTTATTAAATTTAATTGAAAATATTTGCCGTCATTGCCACAAAATTAAATTGAAATTTATAAATTGAAACAAACTGAATAATCCAATTTTCAGACGAAGAATATGAGGATGAAAAAAATACCCTTTTTCGACATATTGTTTGTCTCGGTA